GATGGAGACGACGAGCGGGTTCCATGTCATTGGAATCAAAACACACTGTTAAAGTTCGAGATATGAAGAAACACTTACTGAAATGCAATGCCCGACCCAAGGAGAAGGATCTGTGTTTTGTGAGGATATAAATTTGCATTTGGACGAAAGTACCCATGATGTAGAAGACGACCACGATGAGCATCACTACTTTGATTTACTCAAGCAATTGGAGTTTGAAGAGCTCCCGTCCCATATATGTTCCCATGAGGGCTTGCTGAAGAAGTTGGGAGAGGTTTTGAACCAGAAACATGCATTGCAACAATCGTCGTTGATAGGTAATTTAAAGCGGTTGAACCAACTATCTACAGATACTTTTTACATGGAGTATGGATGTGGAAAGGGAGAGCTTTCCCGGTACGTCAATTTGTGTGCTATGAGAGAATCGGAGGGCCAAAGTTCAGGTTATGGATTTGGGTTTATAGACCGGGGTGTCAATCGTCAGAAAGTTGATAACCGGCTTATCAAAGACTGCAAAGAAAAAGGTATAACCCCAATTGTCAAACGGTCAAGAATAGATATCAAAGATCTTGATGTGTCCAAGTTTCTACAGGCCACGAATGCTGAGAAAGTCATGATAATATCGAAGCATTTGTGTGGGGTAGCCACAGACTTGACTCTCTGTCTGGTTCTCAAGTCAGATTTAATATCCAAGTCACAATTTCAAGGCATGCTAATAGCCATGTGTTGCCGCCATGTGTGTAGCTATGCGCTGCTTTTGCCGGAATCTAAGCGGTATTTGGCATGTATGGGATTTCCCAGTTCTAAATCATTTGACGTTCTTAAAAAGGCAGTTTCATGGGCAGTTTCTGGAGACGATCTGGATAAAGCCAAACTAGGACTTGTGGCACGACGTATAATTGACGAAAGCAGGGCCATTGCTATGCAAAAAAGACTAAAGAATTACAATGTGGAATTGTTCAAGTACGTCGAACGGTCTACAACGCTTGAAAATGTGTGTCTCAGCATCACGAATGCCTCAGCTTGAAAACTACATTCTGATTTTACAACCTCGTCTACATTTTTTCCACGATTATTATTATCTAGCAAACATTAGATCTTGTCTTCAGACACACCATGCTTCCAGATAACCACGTATGGAGTAGTACCATCCTCACGGTAGTTCAACATCACAATCATTCCATCGGGGTCCATGCTCTCACCGGTGTAGAAGTCCCAGTCGTTGAAAGATCCAATCACTTTCTTGACGTAAGCGGCAGCTCCCTTCTCAAACTTTTCAACCTCATCAGGGTTCTTTTCTTGCAAGTGTTGCTTGACTTTCTTCATGTATCCCTTGATGAAAGTGAGGAAAGACTTCTTGTCAAAAGCAGTCAGTTGCAATCTGAAAGAGTAAACAACGTTGTTGACGGTTTCAGCAGCGTCGTCCAATTCTTCAGCTCCATCCTCAGCAGATGGGTTGGCACCAATATCAACGTCACCACCGGAAACGGTCACCATGGCACAGTCAGCTTCGTACACGACATCGTCGATCAACTGAGGGTCGTAAGCGTCCGACAACAATTCGTCACCTGAGAAAATGTCCTTGTAGATAATCATTGTAAAGGTAAAGTAATTTTTTTTTCGCCTTGTAAATTTTTTTTTCACGGTGCGTCGAGTTACCCGGCGGGCGCAACGTGGGAAAGGTTGCAAATGCATATGGAGAATGTGTAAGTTTCTGTTTTTATAGCTTCTTCACTACTTATATTCATTACTCTTGACCATTCTACTTTCGCTTTCTTTTGTTTCTCATTAATACAGTATTTTACATTTTTCATACTTTCACCATTTTCCACTACTTGTTCCACTTTCCATATTTCAACTCTTCGTTATTCATTATCTTACATATACTACAATAATACAAACTCACCGGAAAATGCCCGATCCAACCAGGTGAGCAATCTATCATAAACCACATTGTTACCGTTGTGGTACGAAATCGAATGGTCCGAGTCAGGAAACACCATGAAATCAAAATTCTCCACCGCCGCTAAATTATATTCGTCAATTAGCTCCAATGTGTTTTGAAAATGGACATTATCGTCGCCAGACCCATGCATAATGAGAAACCTTGTCACATCCTTGAATTGAGTAACATTGTGAATCGAAGCTGTCTGATATCCATCTGGGTTCTCCTGCGGTGTCCGCATGTACCTTTCGGTGTAAATGGAGTCATAGAGTTTCCATTTGGTTACTGGTGCCACTGCTGCTCCGTACGAGAATACTGAGCCTGCGTCCGTTTCCAAGGTTTTCAAGGTGAGGAAACCTCCATAAGACCAGCCCCAAATAGCCATACGACTGGAGTCTACATAAGACTTTCGACTCCAAATTTTAGCAGCTGCAATCTGGTCAATCGGCTCGTAGTGTCCCAAGTGGTCTCTGACACAGAACTTAAAATTGGAATCTCCATACGAATTGAAACCAGTGCCTCTTCCGTCTACGGTGACAACAATTGCATCTAATTCTGCCGCTGCCAAAGCACTGAAATCTACCGAGAAAGACTTGGTAACCATCTGCGATCCTGGTCCTCCATAAACATAAAACAAGACGGGGTACTGTTTGGATGAGTCGAAGTTTAGTGGGAAGGTTTCTTTGGCATTTGCTTTAATGTCGTTACCATCTTCATCTTTTCCGAGAAAAATCACCAGATACTCGACTCGAGGGACCTGGTGAGTGTTTAATGTGTTCTTCAATTCGTCATTGGTCTCGACGTACTTGATGTGCTTGTGTGTGTGAAGATCCACAAGCTCTTGATACGGAACCTTGGGCCCTTGATAAGTCAAGAGAAGATAGCGCGATCCTGATGAAATTGAAGCAGAGTACCATCCTTCTTCCTCTGTATCGGTGATCTCGTTAATCGAAGATTCACCTTCTAACAAGTTGACTGAATACAAGTGTCTCTCAACTGACGATTTTTTGGTTCCAATGAAATACACCTGGTTACGTTCCTCATCAAATGCTTTAACTCCACCAACAACTTCCCAGTTACCCTTGGTGAGTATCTTTGGATGAGGGTTGTCTGGGGGAGAAAAGTATGCCAAATGATTGTAGCCGTCAACCACCACGGTGTCGATGTATCCGTCGTGGTTCCTGCCCACGGCTTTATTCTTGGTAATATAACGGGTGTTCGTCAGAACTTCAAACCATGATTTTTCCGCTTTGTGCTGGCGAACTTTTTTAGGTGTCTTTTGAGCAGCATCCACCAAGAAGATTTCAAGAATATCGCTGGCTCGATTGCTCGTTTTCACCAATACATTGTCGTCAGAAACCCAAAGAACCTCAGTGATAAGGTACTCAGGCAAAGACGAGAGAAATATATTGGAGACAGAAGATGCGTCGTTAACGTCAGCCACAACCAATTCAACAACAGGGTTGGGGTAGCCTGCCTTAGGGTACTTGATATTACGTACCTCAGGGTAATCCTTGTCTTGTTGAACGTAGTACTGAATAGGATACTCAGGAACCTCGGTATCGTTCAGCTTCAAAAATGCAATTTTATCACCTTCAGGAGACCACCAAAGAACGATATCACTGGAAAACACTTCCTCTTCATACACCCAGTCCGGCTTACCATTAAAAACGTTGGCATTGCCATCGTGAGTGAACCTAGTGACCTCGTTCAGCCGCTTGACGTAAACGTCGTTTTGGTAGACAAATGCTATAGCGTCCGATTTGGGGGACCAGCTTGTCACCGCGAGCGGTTCAGGATACACAGGCTCGATAATCTGGCTGGCAACATCCAAGGTCCAGTATAAGGCAAAAGTCGAATGTCTCCAATTGTGAGTGACATTTGTTCTAAGAATAGCCTTGGTCATATCGGGAGATGCTGTGAGTCCTTCAACCGTATAGGTTTTTCCGTCGTAAACAAAGTCGGTGGAGTTGAAAAGAACATATTCGTAGCTCTCGTCAATGATAGACTTGATCACATGCGACGAGTCATGGGTCAATACAAAAGTGCCGTCCATGGTGCGATCATGAATCCATTGAACAGAGGTAAATTCTGGTCGGAAAAGCCCATCACGGTATGAAGAAACATTGAGCCGTGGTCCCTGAATCTTTGAATGACGATGATCATACAACAAGGGCGGCGGGGCATTTTTGAGATATTGCTCAATTTGAGCCGGGGAAGGATGAATATGAAAATTGGATATGGTGATGAGAAGAAACAGCACACCCCATACTAGTATGCCTAGGAGCGCACCCGAGTATAGGTAGCGCCTGGAGGAGACACCGGCACGGCCTATAGGCTCGTACTTGTCATTCATGGAAGGCTGGCTGAGAGGAATTTCAAAATGTGAAAGATGCGAATTATATTGTACACTGTATGTAGGATGTCTGTATGTAGGATGTGCTGCATGTAACCTTACACCATTAACGTTGTAGCACATACTTCACTAATCTGAATTAGTAGCCCAAGCGCTTGTCCTCACTTGGATGCGTCGGTGGAGTAAGTACGGTTTCACTTAGAAGCCGAGGACTGAACTCACGAATGATTTTCTTCAAATTGCTTCTCTTGATCGGTTTGGCCAAGAAGCCAGACATGCCCGCATTCAAACACTCTTTTACATTACTCTCGTCGGCAAACGCAGTAAGAGCAATGATCGGCCGTTCCCATTTCAAGTTGCTTCTTATCATTTTTGTGGCCAAAAGTCCATCAATTTGAGGCATCTGAACATCCATGAATATGATATCAAAGTCTTCTCCACTTTCCACCAGATGCTTCACCATTTCCACCGCTTCGGCTCCGTTGCACGCCATGGTGATGTTGGGGAACCCTTCGAGCTTGAGCATTCTCTTGATGACTTCTTGATTGACCATATTGTCTTCCGCTACCAAGATTTTGAGATGTGACAAGTCTGTCAAGATTTCTCCATTTTCGCCGGAATTGGCGGTGCCAGTTGAACCTCGAGTTATTAAATGTGGCTTGATGGCACGAGGAACCTCCAAACGCAGCACCTTGCTGCTGTCGCTCGAATCGGTACTCAGAGTGTCTTTCTTTGAACTGGGTGTATCTTCCTCCGCAACAAATTTATCCTTGTGATTTTCGGTGCGTTTTGGATTGAAGTCATCGTTACAAAACTCCTCCATATCCTCATCGTCCACGATAATTTCTCGCGTCTGAGGCAATGGTATAGTCAAGATAAATGTAGACCCCACACCCAAGGTGGAGTCCAATGTCAATGTTCCATTCATCATTTTTGCCAATTGCCTACAAATGGAAAGTCCAAGACCAGTACCACCATAACTTCGCGATAAGGTCTGGTCTCCTTGTACGAATGGCTCAAACACTTTTTCTTGTAAAGCAGGCTCGATACCTGGTCCTGTGTCGGTAACAACGATTTGAAGAACCCAATTTTTTGGCCGACGTAACTTCCGCATACGAAATCGTTTGTCTCCTCTCAGAAATTCTACCATTGATTCTTCAGCTATCGATCTAGGTTTGTCTGAGGCATGATCTGGAAGTGAAGGTAGGGGTTTCACAGTTTCGAACTGAGACTCAAAAATGGCTTTATCGTACTCTGCCGTGGAAAGAGTGAAAATACTTGTGTTATCACTGATATCCTCGGGAGAAGATTTGGAAGATTTGGGGTTTGTATCACCATTTGCGATGGTACTCTCCGCTTCCTGGTCGGTAGGTGTGGCAGTGGGCGTTTCTTCTGGATCAAATTTGCCCATGGACACTGAGTGTGGGAATCGCTTCACAAATACTTGAGTATTCTTGCACGCTTTTGATCTTCTTTCATCGTACTCACCCAAAAGCTTGAATTGAACATCCACGGCCGAACCCACAGGTGTGAATTTCAAACTGTTTGAAACTAAATTCATCACGATTTGAATGATACGATTGGAGTCTCCCACAAGAACCAACTTTCTGATAATGCTTGGTTTCAACCAGAGCATCAAGTTTACTCGCTGGTCGTTGGCCAACTTGCTAAAGATCGATTGCACTTGATACACCACCTCCAAGATCTGGAACTCTGATTTTTCGAGTTTGGAGCGATTGAGGGTATTTTTGGAATAGGTCAAAAGTTCGGTCAAAATGTGAAGCAAAAGCTCTCCCGATCTATGGATGAGTTGCAAAGACTCCTTAATTCGAGATGGATCTTGTTCTTCCATAGCAATAGACGTCATGCCCAAAATACCATTCAAAGGTGTCCTCAATTCGTGTGAAATATTTGCAATGAAAACCGTCTTTGCTTCGTTCGCAGATTCTGCTTGTATTTTCAGCGCTTCCAATTCTTTGGTTCTACTTCGAACACGGTCCTCTAACGTTGCGTATTGTCGGTCGAGTTCCGCTGTCATGATATTGAAGGCATCTGACAACTCTGTCAACTCGTCCTTGAAGAACTTTTTCGTGTGAAGGATTTTTTCTGGAAGTCTAATTCCCGTCGAATACGAAGTGGATGCCTCGGAGAGGGCGCTTCCACGACGATCGTCGTTTGCGCCCGTAGGCGATGCTGTTAAAATGGTGGAGTTGTGCTTGTCGTGTCGCTTCTTTTTGGAGGTGGTGATGGCCTCGGTAGCTTCTTTCAAAATGGTTATTGGCCTAACGAACATGACTGCCAATGGGAAGGTTACTAGGCACATAAAGGCACCGATTCCAATGACAACTCCAATAATGATATCACGAAAGTTTGCTACTGGGGCATAAAAGTTTTTTCGTGATTGCTCGACGATAATTGTCCAGAAACTTCGGCTGTTCAAGGTGAGTCTGGTGAAGCCAATGGCCACATCGCTTCCAGAAGACGACTTGACTCTGGAGCTGGAGCCGTATTTCAGGCCAAAAGCCTTCTTCACCGAGGACGAGCTGTTGATATTGTAGACGTAATTGGGGATGAGATCGGCGTTGTCTGCCGGAAATAAGCTCTCAAATCCCACAATCTGGCTGGTGTTGCCGTTGTTATCGCTGTAAATGGGCTGGACCGCAAGAATGGAGTATTCGTTCTTTGTGTTTTTCTCGGACCCAAAGCTCTGAGTATCGTTGATGGCCACGTATATGTTTTGAGCATTTGCTAGCACCGTCAAGTATCCTGATACCGACGGTTTGTCGAAAACGATGGAGGAATTAGACGTAACAGGAAGGGTTATGCCGATGAAGTATGCAGAGTAGTCCCACGAGTTGTTACTCATGGGTCCGGAAACGTAAGCCGGGAAGTCGGAATCACTCGACTCGTCGTATTGCTGACTCGAGAGGAGCACAGGAGGAATGGTGGCGTTTTTCAGAAGGGGATATAGGTAGTCCCTGGTGGGCTCGGAAATTATCGTGAGGTCATTAGTGCCTTGGGCAACGATGTCTAGGTCTAGATTGTATAGTCGGGCACCCACAAACAATTCCGACGTGGCGAGGAACTGATCGATTGTGACTTGAGACTCAACAAACACTCCTTCGGTGTTGTTTCCAGCTCGGTATGAAGAAAGTGGATCGGACACAGTGTTCTTTTGTGAGAGCCAATAAACCTGATAGAACATGTACTGCACCGCCTGGGTGACCTGGGTGGCCTTGAGTTGCGAGATGACCTCTAGTCGTTCTGCTCGCAAATTACTAAGGTTATCACTAAAGTAGACTCCGGTGACGATGGCCAAAATCAAAAGCGAGAATAGCGAGGAAAACGCCACCAAAAGGATGAGTTGGGGCCGGATTCCGATTTTGAGCCGTCTCATGATACGGAGCTATAATACATATGGTGCCGGAAGGCGATTAGCAGGGGGGAAAATCAAGGATACGAAAATAACGCAGTTTATTTTTCGCTCTGTTTTGCAATGCGAACAATCGGCTGAGATTAAGTTCCATGCAGTCTGCAGACTAGGGTACATGGATAGGAGGTAAGGGCCGGAGTTTTCGGGCGGAAAAAAGAGTTGGAAGTAGAGGAGGGGTGTGACTTGGTATGTGTGAAAAATTGACGAAAATCATTGGGAGTGTTCTATTTATAGTGGCATGGGCCCATGACGGTCGCAGCCATGCGGTTACATAAGCGGGCTATTCCGTATTGGGTTTAGTAATGAGCTGCGGTGGCTAGTAGAAAGGAAAAGGAGAATAAGGCAGAGAAGCAATTAGAGAGAGAGTTAAAAGTTGAATAATGTAGCGAAAGAAGGAAGACGAAGGAATTTTGGTAAGTAAAGTTGAGTGATAAAGATTGGATTCTGATGGCTAGAGTGAGTAATATTCAGTCCAGTTTTACTTACTTCATTTACTTGATTTCATTTTACTCTCATTTTCTTTCATTTGGTTACTCTTACTTGCTCTTACTTTGATTTGCTTCATTTTACTTTCTTTCTTTTTTTTCTTTCAATACTCTCATTTCCTTTTTCTGGTTGCAAATTGCAAATTTGGCGAGAAATACAAAATTTGGAATATTGCCAATACTCAGAACTTGTAGACAACCACACTTCTTTTCGTGTTGCTTCACCTTGACAATCCTCAACTAACCGGTAACCCTCAATTATGGGGCCTAAAATGGTTCGTGAAATTGACATGCAGAACTTAAGTTATTAATCGATATGGAGATTGATCTGTAAGCCAGTATATTTTTCAATTTTTCTTCTTGTAGCATCGCCTGTTAATCTTCAAATTGAGACTCATAACCCGGAAGTATACTATACCATTGGGACTTGGCGATAATGTTGCTGAATTTGCTTTATACGGTATCGGTTTCGATTCTGAAGCTTATTACGTTCAGATGAACAGAACAGTTATCTCTAAGGGATATACGATCTAACGATAGACCAAAATTTGCAAGTTGGTTTGCACTGCAGTATGACTATATCAAACCCTATTATAATATATTATCTCTGTACATCGACGATGATGGAGATTGAATAAACTATTCATGCTTGAGACGCTCTTTGACAAAGACTGGCTCAGCATCTTCAAAATAGCAAGGGAATGAGCACACCACAGAAAGAAAAGCTTCTCAAAAAATGGAAAATAATAAAAGTTTTGTTGCATTCTTGGGGACCAATGGCTGTGCTAAGATTGGTACAGAAACATTGTTACAATAGAGGCTTCCCTCATTAATTGCTAGCCTGATTCAATGCTTCATATCGCAACGGGACAAAAACTCTTGATCTCATGAAATTGTTAAAGAAACTCAAATCGACCAGTAATTCCAGATTTGCAGACCTTGAAATGGAGTCGTTAAGAACGTAAATGACTGTCACTGTATGCTAAAATGACGAAGCAGATGGAGACTGTCGGGTTGAAAATTCATCGGCAGAATAGACCTAGCTGGCCAACCCTGCTTGCCAAGCAAAGTCCCACTTTCAGATTGAAAAGTCCAAGGATCAATCTCGAGATTAGAATAGTCAGTGCTTCTAAAAGGGTATAGTGTCGTTGAATTGGTGTGTCTTCTGCAAAAGGCAACCATTTAGGTTTGGCTGCAGTTTCCAGTACAAGAAAGTAACAGATAATACCAATGAATTCCGTGAACTATTTTCCACAAGATCTCTCCACTTTCATGCCGTCAACTTTAATCGACTTGGTACATTCGGCAATCGGAAAACGCATTGGCGATCAGAATTTGCCCGAAGATCCGTGTCTTTAATGGCTTACGGTTCTCGATTATGGCCTCGAAAAAGGCCCCAGAATTGTTTTCCGGAGGATAGCTGAAGTCAGAGAACAAACACTCGGTGACGTCACCAGGGGTTCTATAGAGAAATTGGCTAAGACGGTGTACCACAGCCGACATGCATAGCAGCATCTTTAATTTTCGATAATCTATACTCGGCGATTTTGGATGGAAAGAACAAGATTCGGCAAGGGAAAATCTTTATCTAATCCAATTTGAGATATTGAAGTGTCTATGATTTGGTCTGTCTGAAAGAGTGGGCATCTGCTCCTCCGGACGAGTGGTTCCTCTTCAATTCCATCGGTTTCGTTGACTTTTGTCTCAATCTTAAGCAAGACAACTCGAGGCACAAACCCAATTGTCCGTCACCCCACTTTGGCAGACTCGTAACTCTTTGGTTGGAGGCTATAAATACGCTTTCAAGCAAAAAAATCCGAAACTTTGCCGTTTCGCAGCGGAGGTGAGACGTTGCCGCGGCACATTAGAATAGAAAAAACAATGCCAAGAGCCGTGAAATATGTTTTGAGGCCAGGATGTGGCTGAAATTTACCCGACGCTGCTAAAAATATGCTTCGAGGAATCGGGTCGAGGCTCAACCCGGCGCCAAAATTGTGTTGGTGGGAAGACAATCCAACGAGGTTCAGTTGACCTTGTAGGGGTTGTTTGTGATTTGATTGAGCAATCGCAACTAAGTTCAATGAACGAAAAGATACTCGGTATAATTATCTGATTATATATTATGCGAATTACGATCACACAGGAAGTTTCCGTGAATAAGCGATGCAAGGAATTGAAAACGCGGCTAGACCTTCCCAAACTGTGGCTCGTATAGCCGCGCTGCATTGCGAGCGATGGGTGATGAAAGCTCGAATCGATGCATGGAGATGCCTCAGAGATGTAATGGGCCGAGATTAGCTTGTTTAGTTATTCGAAGTGGCGTGATTATTGGTAACCACTGCTGCGGACATAGAATACGACGAATTTAACCTCGGCTCGGCGGCAGCGTGCAGAAATGCGATGAGGCGTGCGGCGGCCGGCGTGTCAAGCACGAGATGGAACTTGATTTGCCGTCTGAATCCGGTAAAGTAATGTGCTTCCATGCGCCGTTGCGCTGCGGCTGGGGCTGGAATACGAATTTTGAAGAGGACGGAAAAACTTGATAACTAACTATAGTACTTCAAGCTACAGTTATGCGTTGCTGCATCAAAGCACTAGCCTCGCACCTTTTGCACAAATTTGTTTGTGGCATCATTTAGTGAAATCTTGAGCATCTGGATCGCATCGCAAATTGTGCAGCCGAGGATATTTTTACGACTTTTCCAATTGCGGCTCCGAGCCACCCCTTTTTTTTCACCCTAGAAAAGCAGAACGAGAAAAAAGTGAAAAGTTTAGCTAGTTTAGCTTCAATATGATTTCAAGACTTTGGGATGCCAAGTACACTAGCCACAGATTGCGAGCACTGTACATCGGCTAATTTGAGAACTTAAATTTAGTTGCGAATTCGCGATATTGCAGATGGCCGTTGACATCGAAAAATTTTCGTATCATTGCATTGCCGCAAAGAGCCGACAGGAAGCGGTTGCGCATGGTAACCCGCATGGTGGCATGGTGGCCCGCAGGCCTAGGATCATGCGCTTCTGGTAATCTCACTTCAAACATGCGTCTGAATGATGCATAGATTCCATCGATAGATGACGATGCCTCCAATTTACTTAAACGCCGACTTTTCCTTCGTCGTCTCTTTTTCAGACATGTTTTGGCTCTTTGCAGCATTTTTGTTGGTGGTGCATGTTGCGGCAGACATAAATGGTATTTTCACAAACATCAATTCAATTGTCGCCTCGTCGTCGGCCGCACTGACTTTATACCCAGCGTCGACATACTGGACCGCCACGGTTCAATGGTCGATTAATGGAGCCAATGTTAATGCTGGTGACACGTTTGCATTGCATATGCCTCATGTGTTCAAATTCACCTCATCTTCGTCATCAATCTCACTTTCTGCTGGAGGAATTACCTACGCTACATGTACATTTTTCAGCGGAGAGTTTATGGTCAACTATTCCGAACTTCAATGTAAAATTTCACCGGGATTGAACTTCAATGATATTGCCATTGGGTCGGTGATGTTCCCAATCACATTTGATTCTGGATTTTCTTCGTCAACTAATGCTCTTGAAGCGGCTAATACTTGGACCACCGGAACCAATACCGTCACTTGGACATTGGGGAGCTATTCAATTTCCACCACGGTGGATTTCGAGGGTGGAACTCTGTCTTCAAGTCCGAATCTTAGGGTTGCTGCTGCAAAATTGGCACCTTCATCTTCACAGGTTCAATTTTATTCTTTGGGAACTTCATGTCCATTTGAAACCCAATCTGGTACACTTGGTATCACTTTTAAAAATGGTGGTCCTCCGTTACAATGTAGCACATTGACAGCTTCGTTTTCCAACCAGTTCAATGATTGGTACTTTCCACAAACTGCTTCCAGTTTATCATATTCCGTGCTGTGTTCACTGAACCTGGTTATGGTGACATTTGCCGGAGTTCCTGCGGGCTCTCGTCCATTTTTCAACATCTTTGCTTCGCTGTTGCCAGTGGGCCGGAATAGCGCAGTTTATACCCTCAAGTACAGATGTGGAAACGGCCCTTCTAACGACTATAGTTATGACCAAGGATGGTCTAGTTACGATAACGGAAACTCGGGTTCTCTGGGTGGAAATTTTATCAACACAATAGTCACGAAAACTTATACTGATTTGACCACCAGGATCTCAACTTTACCTTACAGTTCCACCGTGACTGGAGCCACCAGAACCATTGAGGTGGGTGTTCCAGTTCCGACAATTACCACCACGAAAACTTATGCCGGTTCTATTACAACCACCACCACCATTTCTGCTACCCCAGGCCAAACTGGAACTGTGGAAATTGATTTGCCGGTTCCTACAATTACCCTCACATTGACATGGACTGGAATTTCCACCATTAGCACTATCACTGCTACTCCTGGACAAACCGGTACAGCTATAAATTACCTTCCTGTTCCTACAACTACATTCACTAAAACTTGGATCGGATCAGTAGTCACTTCCAAGACAATTCCTGCCGCTCCAGGTCAAACAGGAACTGTTGAGGTTGACGTTCCCGTTCCAACTACCACGGTAACTTCAACTTGGACTGGAGTTACGACTGTTAGTACAATTCCAGCCACTCCTGGCCAAACTGGTACGATAATTAACTATGTTCCTGTTCCTACAATCACCTTCACCAAAACTTATACCGGTTCTCAAACAACAACCATCATTGTTCCTGCTACTCCAGGACAAACTGGAACTGTCGAAATTGATGTTCCTGTTCCTACAACTACCATTACTTCGACATGGACTGGATCAATTCTCACCTCCAAAACTATAACGGCCACTCCTGGACAAACTGGAACTGTTGAGATCGATGTTCCAGTTCCTACAATTTCCTTCACCAAAACTTACACTGGTTCTCAAACAACCACCGTGACTGTTCCAGCTATCCCAGGTCAAACCGGAACCGTTGAAATTGATGTGCCGGTTCCAACAACTACTGTTACTTCTACATGGACTGGAAATGTTTCTACAATCAGCACTGTTACTGCTTCCCCAGGACAAACTGGTACAGTTATCAACTATATACCAGTTCCTACTACGACTTTCACCAAGACATGGACTGGCACAGTTGTTACTACCAAGACGATTATTGCTACCCCAGGACAAACTGGTACTGTTGAAATTGATGTTCCTGTTCCCACATCCACTGTAACGTCGACCTGGACTGGAGTTGGCTCTACCATTAGCACAGTTACTGCTACACCCGGTCAAACTGGAACTGTTATCAACTACATTACCGTTCCAACAACCACCGTCACTTCTACATGGACAGGCTCACAAATCACCACTATTACTGTTCCTGCTACTCCAGGACAAACTGGAACCGTTATTATAGAGGTTCCAGTGCCCACCAGCACAACCACCAAAACCTGGACTGGTTCAGGAACCACCACCAAAACTGTCAGCGGCAGTCCTGGTCAAACAGGAACCGTTGAAGTTGACATTCCTGTTCCAACAACCACCATCGTTTCCACCTACACTGGTTCAGATATTTCCACCACAACCGATACCGCTACTCCAGGTCAAACAGGAACAGTTATTATTGAAGTTCCTGTTCCAACAACCACTTTAACCAAAACATACAATGGTTCGGTTATAACTACCACGACCATTACTGCCACTCCAGGACAAACAGGAACTGTAATTGTGGAAGTTCCAGTTCCTACTACAACAGTCACCTCAACCTATACTGGTTCAGAGACAACAACCACCACCATTCCTGCTGGACCTGGTGGTACTGGAACCGTTGTCGTTGAGGTACCAGTGCCTACATTGACCACTACCAAGACTACTGGATCTGTAACCACCACCACCACGAAAACTGCTGGACCTGGTCTGACTGGAACTGTTGAAATCGATGTTCCTGTTCCAACTACAACTTTTACTAGAACCAATTCCGGATCAATTACTACCACAACCACAATTGCAGCTGGTCCTGGTGAAACTGGAACCGTTATAGTTGATGTTCCAATTCCAACAACTACTATAACTGACTACTGGACTGGAAAATCCACTGTCACCACCACCAAAACTGCCGGCATTGGTGAAACAGGAACGGTTGAAATAGATCTTCCGACTCCAGTAACCACACTCACTTCAACCTGGACTGGACTGGAAATTCTGTATACAACCTACAGTGCAACCAAAAAAGGCGATACCGCTACAATTGTTGAATACGATCCAGTTCCAACTTCAACCATCACTACAACTTGGACAGGATCTGGAAATACCACGGTTACTGTCCCAGCTGTACCAGGTGAAACTGCTACCGTAATTGTTGAGCTTCCTATTCCTGTGACCACTGTTACATCGACTTGGAATGGTTCAAGAGTCTCCACAACCACCATCAAGGCTCTGCCAGGTGGGACCGATACCGTTGTAATTGAAACCCCATCTCCAACTACAACATTAACCACCACTTGGACAGGCTCAGGAACCACCTCCACTACCATTAGTGGTGGTCCTGGAGGAACCAATACCGTTCTTGTTGAGCTTCCAATTCCTATTACCACAGTTACTTCTACATGGACCGGTTCTGATGTTTCTACCACCACCAAAAAGGCATCTCCTGGAGGAACCGATACTGTGATTGTGGAGATTCCAACTCCAACAACAACTATCACTGCTACTTGGACTGGATCCAACATTACCACTACAACTATTACTGGTGGACCAGGTCAGACCAATACTGTCATCGTCGAAGTTCCAATTCCCACCACAGTAATTACTTCTACTTGGACCGGTTTAAAAATATCTACAACTACCATTACTGGTGGTCCGGGAGAAACCAATACTGTCATTATTGAAGTTCCTACTCCAACAACTACTCTAACTTCGACTTGGACTGGAAGTAACATTACCACTACAACTATTCCTGCTACTTTAGGCGGAACTGCCACGGTTATCGTTGAGGTTCCTACTCCAACTACCACAATCACTTCAACATGGACTGGTTCGAATATTTCAACCACCACCATTACTGGTCGTCCAGGTGAAAGCAATACCGTGGTTGTCGAAGTTCCAACTCCAACAACTACCGTCACTTCTACCTGGAATGGAACTGTTACCACTACCACCACCATCACTGGAAGACCTGGCGAGACTAACATCGTTCTTATTAGAGTACCATCACCAACCATTACCATCACCAAGACTTACGCTGGAAATGTAACAGCCACCACCACCTGGCTTGCTGGCGTTGGAGAGACTGGAACTGTTGAAGTTGATGTCCCAGTTCCTACAACTACAATCACCCAAACCTATACTGGATCAGTAATCTCCACCACCACATTTCCAGCTGGTCCTGGTGAAACAGGAACCGTTATAGTTGATGTTCCAATTCCAACAACCACCATTACTGACTACTGGACTGGAATATCCACCATCACCACCACCAAATCTGCCGGTATTGGAGAAACAGGGACCGTGAAAATTGACCTTCCAACTCCGGTAACTACCCTAACTTCAACCTGGACTGGACTGGAAACCATGTACACCACCTACAGCAATATCACCAAGGGTGGAACCGTTACCATCATAGAATACGACCCAGTGCCAACCACCGTTGTTACCTCAACATGGACTGGAAATGGTACTACTAGCACAACCGTTACTGCTCTACCAGGCAAAACCGCTACTGTGATTGTGGAAGTTCCTATTCCATCCACTACTATCACAAGCACCTGGACCGGATCCGAAGTCAGTACCACAACCATCAAGGGACTTCCTGGAGGAACAGACACTATAATTGTTGAGGTACCTACACCAACCACAACTGTTACATCAACCTGGACTGGTTCTGCAATTTCTACAACTACGATTACCGGAGGACCAGGAGAAAGTAATACAGTTGTGGTTGAAGTTCCAATTCCTAATACGACGGTGACATCTACTTGGACGGGAGCTAACACAAGCACAACCACATTGACTGGTAGTCCTGGTGGAACGAACACGATTATTGTTGAGGTTCCAACTCCTACAACTACACTTACTTCTACTTGGACAGGCTCTGAAATCTCAACGACAACTTTGAAAGGTGGACCTGGTGGAAGTGATACAGTAATTGTTGAAGTTCCTACTCCTACTACTACTGTCACTTCTACTTGGACAGGTTCTGAAACTACTTCGACTACTATTACTGGAAGACCCGGCGAGAGTAACACTGTCGTTGTTGAGGTACCTATACCAACAACTACTCTCACATCCACTTGGACTGGTTCAGAAGTTACCACAACTACTATATCTGCCAGCTTGGGCGGAACTGCTACGGTTATTGTTGAGGTACCAACACCCACAACCACCATAACTTCTACTTGGAATGGAACTACTACCACATCCACTACCATCACAGGAGAACCAGGCCAAAGTAATACTGTCATTGTTGAAGTTCCAACTCCTACCACTACCATTACGTCTACATGGACTGGATCAGAAACATCCACAACCACAGTTAAAGGTGGACCAGGTAGCTCAGACACCGTTATAGTTGAAGTTCCAACACCTACAACCACACTCATGTCTACTTGGACCGGCTCAGTAACTTCAACCACGACCATTACTGGTGGTCCAGGAGAAAGCAACACAGTCATCGTTGAGGTGCCAACTCCAAGAACTACCCTCACCTCCACTTGGAATGGAACTGTAACCACCACTACCACGTTCTCCGCTCTGGTAGGAGGCACTGAAACAGTAATTGTTGAAATTCCATCAAGCACTTCGGCTATTTTCACTTCTGCTTCAACTTCCGAGTCCAGCTCTGCTTCATCTAGTGCTTCATCTAGTCTTACATCCAGCATTGTTTCTTTGGTTTCCGTTTCCAGCACTGCTTCATCAGCTTCATCGAGTTCATCAGCTTCCGATTTTAGTTCGACTTCAGACTCATTTGTATCTTCAGCACTCAACTCAAACCCTCCTTCGTCTTCATCGGAATCTGACTCCAGTTCTGTTTCGTCAGAATTTCCATCGATCAACCTCAGCTCCGCCATATTGAGCTCGTCCTCTTCCGAACACTCACTTAGCTCTTACGCTAACAGCTCAATTGCCCTGTCGAGTGCATCACTCCCTACCAGTTCAATTCCTGTGAGTTTGACCAGTGACTCCACATCTTTTGGATCTTCTACACCTGCACCATCCATCAGTATTACTTCTGGCTCGTCCGCAACGTCTGAGATGATACTCTCATCCAGTGTGTCACAATCTTCAAGCCCTTCATCTGTTGCGTCAGGATCATCATCCAGTGTTTCAGAATCTTCGTCAATCGTCTCAGGCTCGTCTAGTGTGTTCCCATCTAGTTTGTCGTCATCGATAATTTATCCAACCAGTGTTTCCCCAGAATCGACCATTGTCACACCAGTGCAATCTTCCTCTGCAAGTGCTTCATCGATAGTTATTTGCAGAAGAGACGGTTCCAACTGTATTACCGTGGACCCTTCATCTGTTTACTCCTATTCAAACAGAAAGACATCTTCGACGCAAAGCTCTAGCACTGCATCGGTAACAAGCTATTCCAACGGAAATGGTGAAACTGAAACTTCCACACCAACTATTGCAGTAACTGACATCATTACAAGTACTACAAATGGACCTGGTACTTCGAGATCAACAAGCAACTCATCAAGTTCATCAGCTGTTCCAACAGGAGGTTCTAGAGGTTCTGGAAATGGAGGAAATGGAGACCCTTACAATGGAGGAGATCCAAGTGGAGGAACTCAAAGTAACGGAGGAGACCCTAGTAGCAATGGTGGATCCGCCAGTGGAGACTCCAGCAACAACGGTGGATCCGGTAATTCTGGTAACAACGGTTCAGGTAACGGAGAAACTTCTGGTAACAATGAATCAGGAAACGGAGGAAACTCCATTAGCAATGGTTCTGAAAACAGCCCTAACAACGGAGGGTCTGGAAACAGTTCTGGTCACGGTTCAAAAACTGGATCCGAAACCGGTGAGCCAACGGGCTCATCTACTCCTTCTTCATCACCAAATGTTTACGAAGGAGCTGCTGCATCACATACCGTCTCATGGAGTATGCTTACATTCTTCATGAGTATGGTCGTTTTCATCAATTTATGATTTGAATATCAAATTCGATATATCAATTTTCGTGCCTCAATAGTATGGTACACTAAAAGGCCACTTATAGATATCTTGGGCTACTCAATTGGGGGTGGGTAAAAAAATTTAATTTCTTCAACGACGTTCAAGCCAATGACATTTTCACATTGGCCGGTATATATTCTTAGACTAAAACTTGATACCTTTTAATTAAAGTAGATAACTATGGTTAAACAGATCAAGGCATTATCATGTTTCGATCGTAGGGGAGGTGGAAAGTAATATAAGTTTACTACTCTTTCGAAACATGTATTGACCGAGAATTGTAAAAATTGGAAATTTCGAAAAAAGTGCAAATTTTGCTAATTGTCCTTGCTAACATCATTATATGATACTTGTCAGTAGAGACATTTGCTTTGACTTATTGGAAAAGATACGAGGCCCTTCAGGCCCTAACCTTATCAGCGCACATCAATATTCTATTCAAGTAATTTGCAGCCATTGGTGTGCAGCTTGACAATATCTGCATACTAGCAGAAAATACGACAAGCAAGTGCAGAATCGTATAGAGATGCCACAGGTTCACAATTTGATGATAGTCAAGGAATAGTTGTGCAAAGCACACAATTCGATTGAATGTGAAACAGGAGAAAGATAATGCAAAACGAATTCTTTTCAAGAAAATCGGGCTTTAATAGAGATATACTAGTATGAGACTTCAAATTTACATCTATGAATCAACTATTCTTTTGAGAGTTTCATTGTCGATTGCTGCAAATATCTCGGCTCACTGATCCCACACACACCAACTACAAGAATATTTCAGAGTCATAATTCTTTATCTAAATCTATTTGCTGAATATTTGGTCGATCGCATCAACCACAGACTGATCCAAACCGATGTACTCGAAACCAAGCAACTTTTCAGTCTTGGAAAAGTCCTTCTTAGACCACGAATCAACAGGAGCCGTTTGTCCTGGGGTACCAATTGGGACATTCTTAGACTTATCAGGGAACTTCTTGTGGATAATATCGGCAATTTCTTGAGCGATGAATTGATGAGCTACAAGCACCAATCTTTGATTAGCAGCCTCGTCCTTTTCAAAAGCTACCAAATGGGCAGCAGCAACATCTCTAACATCGACAAAAGCACCACTAAGTTCTGGCAATGGGTCGGTGGACTTGAGCTTCAAAAAGTTTTGAACCAACTCCGATGACAAGTTGAGCGTATCTTTCACTTCAAAAGCTTGGGGTCCAAACACATATGAAGGATTGACGGTTGACAATGTAAAGTTTGGGTTGTTCTTCTTAACAAAGTCCCATGCTGCCCTCTCAGCATAAGTCTTCGAAGCACAGTATGCCATCAAAGCATTCAGCTTGGCCTCAGTTGGTGTCACAGGATTCCAACTTTCTTCATTGACCAAGTGACTTGGATCGGAGAACTCTTTGGTAATATCCCAAATAGCAACATAAGACGAGGTGATTACCACCTTTTTGATTTGTGGAGCATACTTCTCAATGCCTTCCAAAGCATTTACCGTACCCTTTTGAGCAGGAATCAAAAGATCATTTTCCACATCGTCAGATGTAAAAGTGAAGGGCGAAGCAGTATGAAGGAAAATTGTCACTTCAGGATGTTTCTTCAAACTCTCATCAAAGGCACCTTTAGCAGCAATATCACCTACAATTTCATACTGGAAATCAGGTCCAAAATTTTTCACCAAACCGTCTCCCTTTTCGGTACTTCTAACCGACCCAACTACCTTGTATTTCTTTTCAAGCAATTGCTTGATAATGCGTTGGGCAATAAAGCCACTAGCGCCTGAAACGTATACTGAAGTCATATTAATGTGAACTGAATTAGTTTGACGGGTAAACCCATTTTATATTTCTATTTGCCACAGTAATTATTAATTAGCTCCCACAGTTCAAGAGGCTCTTCATTACGGCGTGCAACTTGAAATTCAAAATAGCGATATGTGCGAAATCTCTGACAAATATGTTTCTGACAAATGTGTTTTCCGATCAAAATGTTTGTATATTTCCCTTACGGCCGAAAGCATTCAGAATCCTTAGTAATCAAATTAGAAGTCTTACATTTGAAATGTGAAAGCTACGGAATAGTGACTGAAATTGGTAAAATCTTTGATGGTTCAATATAAGCTAATCTTATGTCAAAATCTTTATAGGTTCCGTCCTGCGCATTAATTCCAAAATTTGCACAAGTGATATGCACTGAAGCAGCGTGGGGGAGACGAATGTACTGGTGTACTTTTAATTGAACCAGCTTCATTTACTTCGGTTTCTAGCCCGAAAATAAGTTATCATCTTGGTAAAACAGAAGACGTATTGGAATTGAGCTCAAAGAATTGAAACAGATTCAACAAATCATATTGAATGCTCATTATAAAGGTATTGGATTCGAAGCTATCCCATAATCACATATACACTGAACTTGGGAGAATCAATGCTTCAGTGGCAATAGATCCCGTTTTAGGAGCTTACGTGGCCTTGGACTTCACCTATAAGATAACTCTAAATCTACATGAAGTCTTGCGATATCCAACAATATTAGAGCCAGACATGCATAGAGTGTGCAGGATAATGGTTGCAAAATATTACCCGAATGGGCAGAACCTGCAGCAGGCAGCGGAATCATAGTAGAAGGAGACCACTACGGTTAATACGACTTCCGGACACTGAACGGAGGTTGCCTTCTAAATGAAGTCATTAGTTACAATATACAGCTTAATTTGACAACTCCCCTCAATCGCAAGTATTGTATAAGTTCTATGTGAAGATTACAAATTTTCAAAAATGCAAAATTTGAGTTGATACTTATTGCCAGTGGTTCTTGAGAAATTGCCGTAAACAACGTAATTATAACAGCCGCTATCTTCATTAAATGCAGAAGCCTGTTGTCAAGCTAGCTCACGCTGAATTTGCAGCCAATTGTGGTGTGGGTGCGACTACTGTAGATGTCTGAAGGAACAAAATACAGGTCTTGTATATTGAAGTGCTTAGGCCCTTAGGGACTCGTCACATCTTTGTAGGTGTTGTGATGGATCTGATCGGGTATTTATATGCTTGCTTTGGAGTGTCACGCCTCATGCGATATGGCTTAGCTTGATGCATGATAATGCATTATCATCTACACATTTATATACCATGGTCATGTAGAATACCCTGAAAGTTTAATGATGAGCCTCAATCCTTTACCTTGTGAAATAGTTACACGTTGCTTTTCTTACTTGAGCACAGAATTACTCACCGATATTATACTATTGGAGAACATTCCTGATCATATCCTCCAAGCTGCAGCTGACAATCTCAATCATTTATGCTATTCAAAGAGAATTCTAGGGGTCGAAAAGGAAAGACTTGAAGGTAGTGAAGGTATTCAAGGAATTGAAGCCTACTATGAAACCGGTTTCAATCGGTTTTTACGCATACACAAAGTCCTTGAAGAAAAGTCACTCAAATGTCCTCTTTGGTTCCATTGTACATGGAACAACACTTTTCAAATGCACAAAAACCTCAATGAAATAAACTTAGTTTATAACGACCAAACTTTAGGCATCCATGCCGACCTCGAAGACCCGGCATTTCAAATCTATCCTGTTTTTTCGGACCATAATATTAATCTCAAGATTAATTGCCTTTCATTGAAAGCCTTTTCTGATTGTTGTATCGATTTGAACAATTTCCCAAAATTGGAGACTTTTTATGGCTATAATTGCGAAATAAGCGTTAACCACGATCACCCCAGCTTGAGGGTCATATATCTCAATCAGGTGACATTCAGCTCATTACCGACTAATTTGATAAAGTTAGTAACATCAAGGTGTCGCATAAGGATGAGCGAATCCCATCCAAAACTAGGAGCTCTCACAGTGTTGGTTCTAGAAAATACGCTAGAACCTTTCGATTGCTCCTCGCTACTACAAGCACTCTGGAACAAAGGTTTGGAACAATTTACGTATATCGGTCGAGGGGTCATAGAGGAGGATGAGATCAGAGGGGAAAACGAGGAGGATGAAAGTCGAGGGGTAATAGAGGAGGATGAGATCTTCGCATTAGTTGGTCCCAAAGTGACAACTCTTGGATTTTCTGGTTCAATTTCGGCTAGGGTTCCCAGGCTGCTACACTCAATATACTCCATAAATGGAGGAAGCCTCGAGAATTTGAGTGCTTTTACCCATATGACTTCCCTTACATTACAGCTGCCAGCAGGTAACATCAACAGTTGTGAGTTACCGCCAAACTTGCTCAGACTAACAGTAAATCTGCCAGAAGGTACGATTGACAGATTAAAATTACCGATCAACTTGCTCAAACTTTCAATCACGTCTGCTAAATTTGAGGACTTGGCAAAAGTTGAATTCCCTCCCAACTTGGTTGACCTCAAATTGGAGCTGTGTGATATAACTCTGACTACGGACTGGCTAAAACCAGCCCATTTGATGAGACTCTCACTGAAGATAATAAGCTTTCATCTTTAAAGCC